TGCGCGGATTACGCTCAAACCAAGCGGTCACACTTTCGACGTTTTGTTGAGCGGCAGGAAAAAGCGTGTTAGTCCTCCTGTCGGCCATCATGACCACACATGCACACCAAGAGTGAGCAAGACGCGCATGCGCGACACACATGCCAGAACGCGTGGAACAGCTCTGGGCCCGTTTCCAGTCGGAAAACTAAACTAATTTGAGCCAGCGTGGCGGGCGTCGCGGAGCGGTGGAGACGGGTGAAGAGGTTGGGATCAAGAGAGGAGAGCAGACTTTCGAGAGAAGGGCAAGGAGTTGCGGTAAAGAGAGAAAGGATGCGGTGGAAGGGTGACCTTGAAAACCAAAACACACGGGAAGGAGGCAGGTTGGTTAGCTTGCTTGAAAGGTCTGCGAGACTCGCATGTAGAAAAACTTGGAAAGAGTGCCTGCGCGCGCAGAAGTCAAAGCATGGCTGCCTGGATCGATACGCGCGGCGGTGTTCGAAGAATCGGCGGCCGCGGTCAAAAAATCGTCTTGTTGCGTTGGCAAGTTTGCATGGCCTCACGAACTTCGATATTTCGCGATTCGTTTCGTGCAAATTAACAGCCGTTTTCGCGCTTCCACACGCTCGCGGAAGGCATGCTGAGCCGAGTGCGAAGTGAGCGAAGACAAGTCCTAAACACGAAACGAATCGCAAATTATCAGAATCGGTGGGGTAGCGTACGCGCATGCACTAGATGCAGACTATCGGACACAGTCGGTGGACGGGTATGTTGGCAAATAATCTGGTCACTCCAGGCCGACGACGTCAACGACAGTACCAGCGATCACAAACAGGGTAGATGGCCGACCGGTCTTCGAAAAATGGGTGGCAGTGTGAAAACAAGGGCCTCGTCTGGCGATGCGGGGTGCTCAGAGTAGCAGGGGGACAAAGGACGGAGGGGTGCGTAACAAAAAGCAGTCGAGGCATGGAGGAAGGAAACAGCTTTCCTTCCTCCGTGGGTTGGGGAGAACGGCAACTAGAGGGTCGCGGAGGCAGGGTCGGCGTTTAACAATAAGAATATATGGGCACCTCGCCGATGCCTGATTGGTGGTTGAAATTGGTTTCCCCGAAAGACGGCAGACCGCCGACTCCGTTCGCTGTAACCGATCAGCGGCGCTCGGAGACACTTGTTGTAAGTGCGATTTTGTGCCATTGACCGAATGTATACTTTCACGGTCACACCGATATTGTTCGTTTTAAGCGAAAGTTCGTTTTAGGTAGGGCCGTTAAATGTGGGCTCGACGGTATATCAAAAAAGAAGAGGATTCCTGCGTTAGTCAGACATCAATATCTTTACATGAAAAAAAAAAAAAAATCCTAATCAGTGGCATGTTTGTGTGAATGGAATTTGTCGCGCCTGCGCAGTTACCCGTAGCGTAAATTTATTAATGACGTTGACACTGTCCTTCTCTGGCCCCTCTGTGCATGTTCTGTGTGTTTTTTATCATATGTGTTCAGATAATTTGTATATTTCAATAAATTTTTCAGTTGAGAGTTGGTGCTTGTTTGTGTCTCTTCTCTTCGTTCCGTGAGTTTGTGTGCTGTTACTGCCCATAATTACATCCCAAGTTGTTTCTATCGCATTCATTGCTTCGCCCTTGCGGCGAAACTGTGACTGTTTTGTTGTTGGGTTTGTCGTTGTGAACTTAGGACACCTGCTGTGCAGGCTGGTACGCTAGCTACACGGCTGGTTTCAAACGGCATGCGCTGGAGCATTGGAACCGAGCGGCTGGACGACACTTCAGCGTTGGTCTGTGAGCTTTCAATACGGGAGGAAACAAAAAGAGCTTCGGACAACAAAAAAGAGGTGTCGCACATTTCACGGACCCAAACAAGCAAAGCCATCACGCAAAAGTTTTGCTGTTTGAACTCCGGTGACTTTTTTCTCCTGCATATTGGGACCTTCCCCCAAATTGGCGTGAACTTTTCAGAAAAAAGGTGGGTTCATTACGCGATTAAATACGGTAAAGCTGATCAGGAAGATAAACAAGAACTTAATTTGGGGTCAACTACTTCTTGCTGGAAAAGAATTCATGAGGTTCTTTTGAACTTTCCTGATTTCACCGCCTCTGAATTAAGCGCCGCAGTTGCCTCATTCATGCTGCTGGCGCTCTAAGACTTGTTGACACTTGGTATCGAAGGGAGCGAAAATGACTAAACTTAGCGAAAATTCACTCGTTTCACCGGAAAAACGCGCCGCAAAGTCGATATGAAAAGAATCAGTCCAAGATAATTCCCACTTGAGAATTCAAGCAAGAATGCCAGAGTGGTTGCATAACCACGTCTGTGCCTGTACAGGAGGAGGAGGAGGATGAAAAGCTTCTTTTAAAAAATCCGGTGGCCTCGGTGGTGCGGAGCCCACGCGCCGTTGAAAAGGTTTACATTCGTTCTGCCCCTTGTATGCATGCCACCGCTGCTGTCTTCGCCGCTTGAGGATTTATTCCTGAGCATTGAAATCCTCACGCAGTTGTAGTTATGCATCCAAAGCACTGAAAAGGAACAGTTTACACCTTTACAAACGTTGTTTCGGGAGATACGTCGGAAGGAATGACACGAGCAGATGCACTGGCAGCGAAGGCGACGGATTCAGCCGGCAGTGCAAAAGCCACACACGTTAGTGCACGCCGATTCGCTGCTGCTGCCGCTGCGCCTTCCTCTATTTCTGGTGTTTGCAGCAATCGGAATCCAAACCATGCTCTCAATGAACGCAAAATTTTCAAGGCCATGAACGTTGTCGTGCTGCGTGGTTAGTTCGCTAGCCACAGCACGGGGCGACGCCTTGGCCGCCATCTTGTATGTACGGCTGGTTGTTTACATCACATGGTTTGAGAGCTAGAGCAACCGGTGCAGCCAAAGCCGTAGCAGAAAGGTGATTTGCCATCGCGTGGCGGCAAAATTGATCTTACACCAATTTTTTCGTGTTGGCCTCGTGCCATGGTTTTCCTGCCACTTTTCTGGCGGCGAAGCGAGGTAAATTCCAGTGAGTTTGGCTGCATTCACTCCCTTGAGGCCAAAAGTGAACGGGCTTTCCTTCCTCTCACAGACAAGCCACATTGCACCGCTCGCATGCAGCGGTCAATCGCGCGTTCATGTGATCCGCGGTGGCTTGGTAAACAGTTTGTATAACACTGAATCACGGCGTATTTTATATAATGTAGTCCATCTAAAGCAACCTTAAAATTCCTATCATTGCGAAATTCACATCAACCGTAATCGTATCATCGAGATTTATATGATTTGGTGCAATCAATGTATTACCAACGACGCTTGACATGTGAAAGGCAGAAATGCCATTTCCTCTCCTTCTCTTTCAGCTTTTGGGGAAGCCAGACAAGGGTGTGCTCCTTTTCAGCCCCAAGTTCCAAATCTGCTTCTTGGACGTCGGCATATATGAGCATCTGAAATTGGGATGCTAAAAATCTTCAGCGTACAATTTTTCGGGCTTCCTGCCTAAAGTTCAGGTCCAAAACAGCATTAATGAGGCACCATATCTTCCACATCTAATCTCCATGTTGGAACGAGCGTTTTCTAGAGTCAATCCCCTGAAGTGAATGCCTGAAAGGCAGCTTTGCCGCAGTATGAGTGTGATGAGGTGAAGCATACTAAAATTTGAAGGGGCCACTTTCAATCGGTCGTTGATCGAATTTGTTTTTAGGGGCGAAGCTCCTTATAGAGGCACCCGTTTGTCCCTCGTAGCCATTGTAGTGTGTAACAAGTATGACATTTAGACCTCCAAGGTGGTGCCGGTGAGAGATTTCTTCTGTGCGTTGTTGAGCAAAAAAAAAAAAAAAAAAAGGGCTCAATGTACATGCCAATGGCTGCTAATAGGGAATGAAAGACAGGAGCATTCGGCTTTTAGTTAACGCACATGCTGCGATCCCCATTAGCAGCCACTGGCATGTACATTGAACACTATCTAACAAGAAAGGGTTGTTACGTTATACTCGCTGGGCGTAACCTCCTTATTTTAGGAAGGTTTAGCGAGCGCTGAGCCGCGGTGCCATGAATACAATGAACTAGCATATACCATGAACTCGAAGTGGTTAAAGGTGGGAAGTAGATACGAAGCGCAAGCCGTAAGAAAGTAAAAGCCGAATTCTCCCGTCTCGCATTTTTCATTAGCAGCCATTGGCATGTACATTGAGCACTATCTGACAGGAAAAGGTTGCTACGTTATACTCGCTGGGCGTAACCTCCTTGGTTTTAGAAAGGTTTAGCGAGCGTTGGGCCGTAGTGCCATGAATACAGTGAACTAGCATATGCCATGAACTCGAGGTGGTTAAAGCTGGGAAGTAGACCCAAAGCGCAAGCCGTAAGAAAGTGTGCGTGTGCCACCTCTCGTTTAGTCCTTGGAATGTCCGCTGGATGGCGGTGCTTCTATATAGGGAATATATGATGAAAAGGTGCTAGATGGTGGTACTTAGAGTGTTGAATAGATGGACGAACGGACACACAGACAGGTGCATGGATGGACGCATGAACGGACGCAGGGGCGAATGCATGGACGAATGCAGGGACGGACACACGAACAGACGAATGCACGGACGGGTGGACGGACGCATGGATGGTCTCACTGACGGACACATGGACGAACTGAAGCAAGAACGAATGGACGGACGACTGCTTCGCCCCACTGTCCATCATTCACTCCGTGGATATGCTGCCAATTTTTTTTAGAGATTCGACCATAGTGGAGCTTGAAAGGCAGATTTGCTGCATTAAGAAAGTGTGGTGAGGTGAAGCATCTTAAAATCTAAAAAAGCCACTTTCAAGCGGACGTTGACTGCGTGCGTTTTTGGGAAAGTAAAATAGATAAAAATATCAATGCGGATCAAATTTAATAGCTAACATTATTAAAGAAATATTAGAAATTTAGAATATTCGCGCAACCTTCATTAATAGGGATTGTGTTCACCCCGTTCGTCCAGTTGTGGCAAGCATCTGGAAGAGTGTTCACATGGCAATGTGTTGGTGTTCCAGGTGTGTCTGCTCGTACAAGAGGTGGAGGATGCACGCAGTGGTGGCGTTGCTGGGTTGCAGGAGGAAGTCAGCTCTTCCAATGAGGATGCCTCTCCTCCACTCACTGCCTCTGAAGTCATCTCTAAGCATCTTGTCACGTTCAGGTCTGGTCTCCAATTATTACAAGGGGACTAGGACTTGTTACCTGTCACTTAGTGGGCTTGCTTGTAGCATTTACAGCATTCCTTAGCCTTTTTATAGAGAGTGGGATTGTAGCCCTTGTTTGGCAAAGTTGAATGCTGCACTCCTCATTCAACATATGCGGCGGCATTAGTCAGCATCCAACAGGATTGGTCGTTGCAGTGTTAGACTCTGCCGTATGTCGCACTGTTGAAGTATGTTGCAATGTTTGGTGCAATGGGTTATCATACTGTGGTGGACAGGGCGTTGACATGAGGTTGTCAGAGTGTTTGGTGGGACTGGTTATGAGATGACGCTAGGCACGAAGGGTTTTTGTGGGTTTTTGGAGTGGTTGGTGTGACAGGTTGTTTCAGTGTGATGTCTGATGCATCCTTCACTGCTCTCGTGTGCAGGAACATTGAGGAGCTGCAGCAAAAGAATGCAGAGTTGCTAGCTGTGGTGCGAGAGCTGAGTGAGAAACAGGAGGAAGAAGAAAAGAAGGCGGCTGAGGAGAGGTGGGTGACCGCTAGTGCACTAAAACCTTGTTATAACAATATTGCATATTACAGGAAAATAAGTTCGTAATATCAGAAAATTTGTTATGAAGGTATATTTCTAACACTATGATTATTTGACTATTTTTAATTTACTTCGTTATAACTGATATTTCGTTAGATATGGGTGCGTTGTGTCGAGGTTTGAGTGTACCATGTACAGTCGTTGAACAATTCTTTAGACCTGGCAGGAACCGTGAAATAGTCCAAAGATTCGAACAATCTGAAAAAATTGTGAAGAAAAGACATGTAAATGAAGTTTGCGGGCACGTCGAAAGACGCCGATATCGTGCACGAATTGGCGCTCCTTGGCTTCACCGGAGTGCCAGCACTCACTCGGCCTAGTGAGATGCCTGAAAAAAAAAAAAAAAAAAATCGGGCCTGTATCTGCATTTTAATCTGCAAATGTCGTTGAAAGACAATAGTCTTGCGGCTGGAAAGATTGAACAAAATGTTTATATGATGTTATGCACAAGAAAATCAGTGAATGGTATTCTGGAAGCGCTGTGTTAGAGTGCCTCGAGCATACAGCAGATGCGAACGAGCGCATCAAGTCACGTCACATGGGAGACATGAGCGCTATCTGGCAGTTATCTTAGAAAACAAAACGTGCGGCTCTGAGACGGCGTGCGCGCCCGTCTCAGAGATGATAAGGTGTAGAAAGCAAGGCAATGGGTAGGTGCCACCACCATGTCGTCTTAGCAAAGCGTTGGAAACACTTCCCTTTTCGGGCAAGCGTTACATGGTCAGCGCCGCGGGATAAACGCTACAGTCCTTAGAATAACTTATGTATGCCTTTTCTAGTAAAAGACGCACATACAGAATATATACGTGTTATGGTGCCTCAGATATGCACGATAATTGCTTTTTAATTGACAATCGCACAAGTATGAACGCTGAAGCTTGAGCAACATTGGTGGGTGCTGCCGAAGGGGTCGGCCGTTTGGGATATCCGCTGGTGCCGTTTAAAATGTCAGATACCGGTAAGGGTGGACGAACAGACAAATGGACAGACAGACAGACCAAAATTTTTGCGTCCAAGGTCCCCAAGAAAGACTATCGTCTTTAAAACCTCTAATATTGCCATGCTTTATGCTGTGCATGGGGATGAGCAAATTTGGTTTGGTTTTGGCTACGGTAACATCATCAGTGCATTGGCAATCGCTGTCGCCGGCGTTTGCAGGAGGCGCTGGTGGTGGCTCCAATGCACGCAGCAAACAACATGCACACACGCAAGACAGACAGAGAGTGACAGAAAGTCCTGAAAGTCCATCGGCAACTGTACACGTGTCAATGTTGTGCTTTTTCGTGTCTAGACATTTAAACTCACAGCTTAGAAAAACGAGTGGAAGTGCTGCGCTATTTTGTGCCAATGTGACCTGCTGTGCATAAATAGCAATTTACACGGTAATTGTCAATTAGAAGTGTAAGTCATCAAATCTAGCTGATTATTATCCTTGACAGGGCAATACTGAGAGTTGGCAAACCAAAGGACGAGGTCGCGTCCATATCCAGTGTTCAATCACTTAATTCGGTTCATTCATGGGGCTTGCCAGGTCCCGTCTTATCGTTTTTATCGCCGTGGTTTCCTCGCAAAAAGTGGTGGCACCAACATCAGTAACTGTGAATTTTCTAGTAATACAGTGAAAAGCTTGATCATTTGTCCCAGCTGAAGGGGCGGCATGATCATGCACTAAACAGCAGTAAAAGCACAAATGTGCATCTCCTGACGTGTGCCTTTGCCACCAATAAAAGAATACAGTACCATAACAGTTGTGGTCCAAAGTACCCTTCAGGAATTTTGTGTGGTAAGTCTTGTGATGGCCGTGCTAGACTGCACGTGTGTGCTCGCTTCTTACAGCCTTCATATTGGGTGTACAGTCGAGCCCACATATAACGGCCCCACTTAAAACGAACTTTCGCTTAGAACAAACAATATCTGCGTGACCGTTAAAATATACGTTGGTTCAATGGTACAAAATCGCACTTACAATGAACGTCTCCGAGCGCCACCTATCGGTTACAGCGAACGAGGTCGGCGCGTAGCCGACTTCCCAAGAAACGACTTTCGACCACCGATGAGGCATCGGCGAGGTGCTCATACTTTCTTATTGTTAAACGCTGACCCTGCCTCCGCGCCCGTCTAGTTGCCGCTCTACCCGATCGCTTTTTGTTACACCCCCCTCCGTGCTTTGTCCCCCCCGCTACTCTGAGCACCTCGCTTCGCCAGACGAGGCCCGTTGGTGTCGCCGGTCTGGAGGTACCAGACAATTTGCCAACATCGTCGGCCACTGACTGTACCCGATCGTTTGCGTCTAGTGCATGCACGAACGCTGCCCCACTGACTCTGATAATTCGCGATTCGTTTTGTGTTTAGGACCTGCTCTCGCTGACTTCGCACTCGGCTCAGCATGCCCTCTGCACGCGTGCGGAAGCATGAAAACGGCTGTTAATCTGCACAAAATGAATTGCGAAATATCGAAGTCGGTGAGGCCATGCAAACCTGCCAGCGCAACAAAAAGATTTTTTTACCACGGCGGCCGATTCTTTGAACACTGCCGCGCGCGCCAATCCAGGCAGCCGTGTTTTGACTTCTGCGTGCGAAGGCACTTGTTTAAAGTTTTTCTACGCGCCCGTTTTGCGGACCTTTGAAGCAAGCTACCCGACTTACCGCCTTCCCGCGTGTTATGCTTTTCAAGGTCGCCCTTCCGCTGTGTCCTTCCCTCTCTTCACTCTATCGCAACCCCTTGCCCTTCTCTCGCAAGTCTACTCTCCTTTCTTGATCACAACCCCTTTGCCCGTCTCCACCGCTCCGCGACGCCCACCACGCCGGCTCGAATTAGTTTAGTTTTCTGACTGGAAACGGGCCTAGAGCTGTTCTCCGCGTTCTGGCATGTGTGTCCCATGTGCACGTCTTGCTCGCTCTTGGTGTGCATGTGTGATCAGGATGGCAGACGGGAGGTCTTGCTCACTTTTTTCTGCTGCTCAACAAAATGTCGAAAGTATGACCGCTTGGCTTGAGCGTAGTTCGTGCGTTAGGTGCTGCATTGCGGAGGGCTTGCTCATAGCTGTTGACCACCTGGTAGTTAACTTGCCGCTTCGGGCGTCCCAGTATTCGGTTGTGGTGATGGTGAATATTTTGCGGGCGTTGACGGTTACATGCCTCGGGCCCGATACCGAGCCTGAAGTTTCCAAGCAGGATCACTTCGGCGGCGATTTGTGGCAGCGTGCCGTCGACTCCGACATGGGAGAGCGGGTGAAACATATGGTGACCCGCTACTCACCGTAGCGGATGATCACCGCGAGTTCACGCTTAGCGAGCCACATGGCGGCGACTTCGTCACCTACTCACGTGTAGCGCACCGCTCCGCACGCGCTCAACTAATAAGGCGTTTAGCGCGGCGTGGAAAAACAGACAGTGTTCCAATACAACAATACACTTTATTGTCTTTGGCTGCACTCCGAACAACAGTACAACGTTTGCTCCCGGGATGCGGGGAGCAAAGGCACCCACACGCGGACGTTCATGATAAGGGGAAACCGCAAGCATGTTGCAGCTGGCAATGGCGAGCTTTGACAAGCCGGTTGGGAAAAGGTCCCTCGTGGCTATGCTGCGCACTCTCACGATGGCCACTGGGCCTGGTCGCGAGTGTTAGGGCAAACCTCGTACGCGTAGGCCTACGGCAAGTGCGGCTCGGTGTGGTACGACCACTTCAAGCCCAAGGCACCGCTGTGGGCTTAGCGTACAGTACCGAAGCTAGCACTCAAGTAAACACGCCTGCCGAGGTGCGAAAGGCCACCCCAGGCAGGCTAGAGTCCGGCGATTCTCAAAGGGGACGCGGGCTAAGGAAACACGTGCTTACCCGACGCCGACCACGGAGGAGAGAGGGCTCCCTCAGCGCGCACGTAACACGTGCCGCGCCCGCACATGGCGCCATCTATCGCCACGCCTCGTTACCAGAGCAGAAAAAGCAGAAAGGGTGTGGCCGTGTGGCGGAATGCCCGCGAAATGGTCGCTGGTGCGCCTCAGATCCCCACATCCTCCTCTCCATAATTCAACCTATATACTGGTCTGCAAAGGCAGCCGGTCGTTGCCCATGCATGCAGAGACGTCATGCAATGGGCAACAGCTAGCCTCAGCCTCGCTCTGCAACTGCTGCTGAAAAAAATAGAACAACACAAGAATACACTTGAGAAATACAATGCCGCCGCGAAAGAGGGGTAATGGGAGTTCATGATGCGCAGGCAAGAGCGCGTCCACAGCTCGGAGGGGAAGCGTCACGTTGTGTTTGAATTGGGTGAGTGCGTGAATGCGAGAGTGCAAGGCGAGAGTTCTGGTTGAGGCCCTCATGCGAGGAACAGGCTCACCTTCATCTTGTCGATGTTGACGAAAGCCCTGCGAATCCGACGAACGCCGCCTCGGTGGAGGTTTGGATGGACCTCGCTGCGACAGCCGGCCTTTCTTCTAGAATCATGGTCGCCGAATCCACTGGCTGCGAGGCGTCCTGTGGCGTCGGTCGAGTCGTGCACAGTGTCTGCGACAGCTGGCCTCGTGCAGGAGCTGTGATAGAAAGGCCAGCAGAGCTTATCAGCGACGGTCGGGAGCAAAGCACAACCGGGCTGCCTAACGACCGCAGTTCTCCGAACACCTCCCGAGTCCAAGGTGGTGTAGGGGTCGGCGACTTCTTAACTTGTTGTTGCCACACGCACGTACACACGCACACACACCTCCGATGGTCGGGTCTCTCCAAACGCGCCCCACAAAGGAAGGTGCAGAGTGTCCTTTGTCCCTCTCTCCACGCTAAAGCACCAATTCATGATCCCTTCCTCCAGCGAGGAGAAAAAAAAAGAAGACATGAAAAAAAAACATCATGTAAACAAGAGCACAAATGAAAATCATCAGCAGCAACTGGGTGGAGACGACTTCCTTGCAAGCACTGGCTGTAAAGAAGTTAACTAAC